AGGTTAAAGGGAAATTGGAGTACCTAATACAATGGAAGGGATACCCGTTGTCTGAAGCCACCTGGGTGAAATCCAGTGAAGTAAAGGCTAATAGATTGGTCAAAAGGTTTCATGTGAAACACCCCAACAAACCGAAAGATAACCCTTAACATATGCTTTGGTTTGCTTTACAGGATCTGTCCTTTTTTGTAAAGGGGGCTGGATGTCAACGCTGCAAATACTGTATATTCTTGCTTTGACAATATGCAGAACTGTCCGGTATTTTTATAGTTAAATCAGGCAACAGTGAAAGGGGAGGAGAATAAGGAAAGCCTGGGAAAAAGAAACCAGAAGTAAATCACATCTTCCAAGTTAAATAGGGGAGGGAAAAATGCCTGGAATGTAATGCAACGGAAAAGAATCTCAGATCTAAGCATTTCCACCATGCCGTACTGACATCTCTGTAACCTTAATAAATGCTTTTAGGATAAAAATATGCCTGAAAATCCTTTTAAGTGTTTCGTTAATCAGACACATGACACCAGCTCTATTCTGATTCTGAATGAAGTTGGAAAGAACCCAAGTGGCCTCTTCCCTCTTCCTGCTAACTAGCTTTTGCCTGCAAGATGGCATTGGATTATTTCTTTTCTCAATAGTCCTTTGCAATGCAAAATGAAGTTTTTGCTTAACTGCTTAGCAGCATCAATAAGATAGGAATTACAGTATGATTAAAACACACACACAATATGGCTTAGAATCCTCTGGTTCCTCTCTTTGGCCTTTCAGCTCCATTCTCCATGCTCCCCTGAAGTCTCTTCCTGGCTTTCCATCAGATACAGTTGGCGCTTCCTGTGTAATCTTTTCCTAGCTGGGCTGTCCTTCACTCTGAGCAGCTACACTTTTGTCTTTTATGGCTGACATTCCTAGGAACTGAAACACACCTGGATGTTTATGACACCGCAGCATCTCTGCCAACACCAAGAGAGGCTCAGAATGTCTTGCCTTCTGAAAATGCCACTGGTCCTTTGTACTGTTGTTGGGATTATAATTATGCTTTCACGATTAAGGTGAAAATAAATAGTTACGCCCATTTCAAGAAATGTTTCCTTCCCTTTCCCCACCACCCCTCCACACTTGGATTGGGTTTTTCTTGGAGTCTTTTAAACAGAAGAGAGGGTGTGGGTTTTTTTCCTTTGAATTTTTGTATTCGGGGGAATATGTTTCCAGGTGGGAGAAAAACAGGGCTGAGCATGAATAGATGGGCAGGAGAGCTGGGCAAATGCAGCCATCCTGCCTTTATTTTTTCCCCTCTCATCTTGGAAGTCCTCATGGTTTCTCATCCCAAGAGTAATGGCCTTCCATCCTGCCTGGATTTCTGTGGGAAACTGAGGTTGATTAGTTGCTGCCCTCCAGCTGGAAGAGCTGATTTCCTTCAAGGAATAGAATAGAATAGAATAGAATAGAATAGAATAGAATAGAATAGAATAGAATAGAATAGAATAAAGCTGGAAGGGACCTTGGAGGTCTTCTAATCCAGCCCCCTGATCAAACAGGAGAACCTACACCATCTCAGACAAGTGATTGTCTAGTCTCTTCTTAAAGACCTCCAGTGATAGAGCGACAATAATCAGTCCTGGTTTTTTCCAGCCTTCCAGGGTTTTTTCCCAAGCGGCTTCCGAGCCCTGCCCATCTCTTCTGGTCAGAAAGCCCTGCAGTTCCTCCAGCCCCCCGGCCCCGGGGTCTTACTTAGCTCCTCTGGGCTGCTTTGGTTGCTTCTGCCACATACGTATGCTAGAAACCATCTGTGGTTCTTTAAAATGCTCTTTGAAACGGACTCTGCTGGCCCCCATCACAGAGGCATGCGCTCTTGTCATCTGGTCAAGTTTTGATAGGGATGAGCTTGTACTTGTTTTTCCTCTTCCCTTCCCAAACATTTTCTCCTTGTGATGTATGTTTTATACAATAATCAGAGGATGAAGACTTTCTCCAGATACACAAATATAGGCGTTCTTGATCCTCCCTTGATATGTTTTAGCGTGTTTTCTCTGACATATGTTTTGAGGGTGGTCCAGAAAGGAAACATGGTATAATATGAACCCTTTTGGAAAGAGCTGAGGTTTCAACTGCACATTGTTCCTCTCTTTCCTTCACCTGCCCCCCCCCCCCCATTGCAGGTGTTCTCTATTGTGGTGTTTGGCTCCATCATCAATGAGGGTTATGTGAACACAGATAAGTCCCCGATGCTGCGCTGCATCTTCAACAGCAATGAAGGAGCCTGCAACTATGGCATCGCAATTGGGCTGCTGGCCTTCCTGGCCTGCAGCTTCTTCCTGGCGATGGATGTCTACTTCCAGCAGATCAGCAGCGTGAAGGACAGGAGGCGCATTGTCCTCTTGGACCTCGGCTTTTCCGGTATGTCTGATGGGAGGGGGAGCCAGGGGCCTGATTTAACGCGGGGGCTGGTTCACACCACGTAGTCAACCCGGGTTCACCAAACATTCTTGTATCCACATAGCATGTGGTGCCAAAATAAACAAACAATATAATGGCTTTGTATCACAGCCTCGTTCCCCAAACAGGCTAAAGCAACATCATCAGCCTGAACTAGTGGATCCAGTGAGCATGGCTTTGTGCCACAGCTGCCCATGGACAAAGCCTGGATGGGCTGGCACAAGCATGTCTTACAAAGTGTTTGACCAACTTCAGATGTGCGAAGAAGGAAAATGTTTAGTTGTGCTCAATTCCTATGGAAATCCAACCAAAGGAAAGCAAAAACAGGCAGTTCAGGCAATGAAATTGTGCTAAAATCTGATTTACAATTTCTCAGATGTTCTTTTTCCTCCCATCTTCCCAATGTATTTCGAAGGTGTTTGGGAATGCAGCTGCCTGCATTCATGGGTGATGATGTGGAGGGGGCTATTTTCGCTTTGAAGCTTGCCTTGGAATTGAAGGGAAGGGTGGGAGCTGCAGACCTTCCTGCACACACCTGGCCCCTTTATTTTTAATAAGATAATGCAAAGGTTCTGCCAGACCTCTTTTGAGAGCGTGGGAAACCCAGAGTTCGTCTAATGTCAGACCTGCCCAAATCTGATCCCTTAGGAAAGAGAGACCCTTGACTCCATTTGGTTGAAGTGAAAGGTTCTTTTACTGAGAGATGTTGGCTGCAGTAAAGTCAGGCGTTTCTGGGTTTCCTGCGCTCAAAAGAAAGGTTTCCCCTCATCCCAGCCCTCCCCCGTGACCAGTCCGTCTCCAGCCAATTGGAACTCGCTGAGATGTTTTGGGTACTCCACATTCTTTCTCAGGGTGCCTGGCCTTGGATGCTGGGGTAAACTCTTTATCGCCTGTCATTTCCCCCTGCCCGTTTCCCATCACATATATACACACACAGCTTTATTGCCCCTCTATCCTTCCTCCCCCTTCCAGCCTTTGATGGCCGAATCCCTGTGAGATGCTAAGCTGAGCCTGACAGACCTGAGAGGTTCTAAATTGTAAAACAAAGCAGTACAGGTGGTCCTCAAGTTACAATCACAATTCAGCCCAAAATTTATGTTGCTAAGGGAAATATTTGTTAAGTGAGTTTTGCCCCTTTTTACAACCTTTCTAGCCACAGTTGTTAAGTGTATCCCTGCAGTTATTAAGTTAGTAACACAGTTGTTAAGTGAATCTGGCTTCCCCATTGTTTTTGCTTGTCAGAAGGTTGCCAATGCAGATCACATGACCTGGGACACTGCCACCGTCATAAATGTGAGTCAGTTGTCAAGCATCCGAATTTTGATCACGTGACCCTGGGGAGGCTGCAACGGTTGTAAGTGTGAAAAACAGTCATAAGTCACTTTTTTCAGTGCCGTTGTAACTTTGAACGGTCACTACTTGAAGTGTACTGTAAGTTGAGGACTATCTGTAAGTAGAACTTCTAAATAAAGCCTATTACAGTATTGTTAGAAATAATGCAGGGGGCATCCGGGGGTGGGGTGGGGGTGGTAAAAAAGTCACATCGGTGGGCAGGATCCCGTGATGGAAACCTGCCACCCACAGAGCAGACGTCGCCATGGGTGAGAGCTTGTGCAGTCCAGACGTCTAGCCGGAGCCCCCGTCCTTGTGCTTTTGGCTGTGGTCCTGGCTCTGCCCTTTGGGATAGCAGAGGAGGCCTCTTCTGTGTGGCCTCTTCTGATATCTGGGGGGGGGTGTTCCCACATCTCCCCTCAGCGACCTTTCCTGCAGGTTGAGCATGCTGAGGTCTTTCTCTGTTCCTGACGGGCTGGTTTCCATCCCAGTAGCTCTCCTGTAAATTGACTCCAGTTTCTCCCTGCCCATTTGAACTGTGGTGCCCCAAAATGGACGTGGTGCCCCAATTGGGGTCTGACCAGGGCAGAGAAGGGTGGCATGGTTTCTTCCCCAGGATTTGGACTCTGCTCCTGTTTCTCCACTCCAAGATAGCCACTGCCTGCTCTTAAAGGCAGGGGTTGCAGTGCAGGACTTTTCTTCTTCCCTGTTCATTTCAGCCCAAGGCTTGAGATTTTGGGTCTTCTCTTCTCAGCTCGTGCTCTAGTCACTCTTCTCAACAGAGCAGACTTTACAAGCGTCCCCTCCAATCTCCCATCCAGGTCGCTGATACGCGATTGAACTGGACAGAGCCCAGGACCGAGAGATGCAGCACAGCACTTGAAACTGCTCTCAAGCTGAAGTGGCTGTGCTGGGGCCACCTAATAGTATTTTAATTTAGCCCATGTTTCATCAAGAGAATTTTAGGAGAGATTTAGAGGAGTTACAACAAAGTTCCAGTTATGCTGTGCCTAAAGGCACCCTCTGACCTACCGAGTTAGAAATTCTGCCCAAAGAGATAAGGTTAGCCTGGCATAATTTGATGGCCACAGACCTTGCTTAGTCCTGTTAATTGGAGCACGCTGTCCAAGTGCACACAAACTTCTGGTTTAATAACCTGCTTGAGGCCCTCGCTCTGACGTGAAGGTGACAGCTCCAGTTGTACAAGTCTTCCTTGTCCCCCTTGTTGGGGATAATAGTCTCCTCTGATTTTCCGGGATTCCAGTAGCCCTCCTGGAGTTTGCAAAGGCTCCTGTGAGTGGTTCTGCCACCACCTCCACAAGTTCCTTGGTCTACCTTGAAATCTATCCAACCAACAAGGGTGCTGACTGTTTTTTCTGCTTGACAGGCTTCTGGTCCTTTCTCTGGTTTGTGGCGTTCTGCTTTCTGGCCAACCAGTGGCAGCGGACACCTGCCAGCAAAGGGGCATCACAAGGAGGAGATGCGGCACGAGCAGCCATTGCCTTCTCATTCTTTTCCATCATTTCCTGGGTAAGAAAAACAAGTTCTGGGCTTCCCCTGCCCAGAGCTAGTAGCCTTGCAGGCACTAATTCAAGGGTATGACTCTCAAATAAACTAGAACATTATTAATAAAGAAATCCAGTAGCAAGGAAATTGTCAAAATAAGCATACATCTGTGCCTTAAGTGTTAATGTTTTAAAATGCTATATTTCTACTCTTCGTGACCCCTGACAAGAAAGGCATCTGTATGTGTGTTGGTGCATGTGTATCAAAAAGTCAAGATGGTATACATACTTGTGCCACATGGTGTATAGATTGCACAAGCTTGCCTGCTATCTTGGGGACTTTCTGGGATGTCTGAATTCTGGTGAACAAGACCGGGTGGGGCTTGGGATAAGTTCCTTTAAGATATAGATAAAAAATTGACAGTTGCCTCATGCTAATAATTATAAGATAATTTCTCCCAAGGGAGTCAGATAATCAGATGCCCTAGTTTAGAGTTTACTTAATAAAGTTTTGTGAAAAAAACATTAAAAGCCTCTGTTAAAATCAACTAAATCATTAGAACCTTTCTGACATTATCTCTTGAGAAGCTGATGCTGAATTCAGTATTTCCTGTGTCCTTTGGATAACATGCAACAGAAGGGGTTAAAAACAGTTCTAGGAAATCAGTGGGAAAACTGTAAAAGGGAAAAGTGTTAATACATGTTTTTCTCTCTACAAATGGGGACAAATCTAGTTTGCATTTCTTCAGTAAATGAAACAAAGCTTAAATAGGCTAGAAAAGTGTGTTTTAATCCTTCCTTACGTATGGAAACTGGCTGGGTGACTTTGGGTCAGTCCCTCCCTCTCACCAAATCACTTCTTATAGAGTTTAGGGGTCCCAATTAAAGCATCTCAAACCAATGGCCTTCCATCTGCCACTGGAACATCCCCAGGCAGAGGGGGGTCACCGCCTCCTTTGGTGATTGACACCTTTTGACCTGTTCTCAACATTCAGATGACTCTATTATAACTGAAATCCATTATTCTGTGTTCTGGTATCTTGATCTTCTTTTCTGTAATGCCTGAAGATGATCACATTGTCCTCTTTGGCAATCTTTCCTCATCAGATACAGTTTCTAGTCCACATTTATTCAAAAAAGAGGAAAAAAGGAATTCAACCCTCATAAAAATGAAATTGAGAGTGGCCCAAATGGATTCATTAGCTTTTTTTCTCAACTCATAGCAAAACGCAGAGACTAACAATAGAAAACGAATACAGATGCTGCATCTTTGCTCACTTTTTTTTGCAATAGGTGAAACTTTGCCCTCCTATCTAAGCCTCCTTCCCCCAATTCCTTTTTTAAAATTGCCTGCCACTGTCCAGACATTTCGCTCATATAAGCCATCCCAGTATTTTTATATTTCTCATAACATAAACAAAGTGCTATACTACCTATAAATCACATCCCTCTTACTATAGGACCCATTTATATCCAAAGTTTATCTATTCTTTTAACCATATTCAAACAAGTGTTTAGTCATATAGTACTCCATCTGGTAAGTCAAATCATCTGATCTCTTGAATCTAACTCTAGCTTTCTTCTTTTGCCAGACAACTTTCTGAGTCAGTGTGTTCAGCTTGCCAGGGAATTCTTTTATGAATGTTATTAGAGCTGGGGAAGACAGATTAGGTGAGATACTTTTGAGGGGGAGTTTCGCCCATTTATATTTATTAAAGAGCTTCCACTTTCCTTCTCCCTCAATTTCTCTTTTCATTTTTTGTCTCTCAAACTCTAGTAGTTCTCCTGGTGTCTCTATAATCCACTTTGTCGGATCTTCTTTCTTATCCTCTGGTTTATTTTGAAGTCCTGAAAAAAAAAATGCCTTTTCCTTTTCCAATATTATAACAGAATCTTGCAGATTTTTCTTTACCTGTACTAATCTGTAATTCCTTTCGTTTGTAGCCTCCATCTTTGGGTCACTTTCCTCTGATTTGTGTTCTATTGTCTGATTTATTTGTTCATTCTTTGTCATTTTCTGAGAGTTTTTTAGTTGTAAGCTTAGGTTAAAGATGTGCTCATATATCTCATCAGAATTATTTTTAATCTCATTATTTGAAACAATTGTCCTTTGAATTAGTTGCAACATAGCATGCATTTCCTCCTGGAAGATATTTGCCTTGTCTTGAAGTATTACTCCTGCAGATCTCTGATGTTCCAGGCTGGGAGCTTCAGAAAAGAATCTTGGGTGTGGTTTCCTACCACTTTTAGTTAGGTATGCAACATTCATTTTATCTCCTCCCTCCGAATAATCTTTCACAGGTACCATAATCCCTGTATATTAGTTTTATCCAACCAACCAACATTAAAATCCAAACATATAATTCTTGTATAGTTCTTATCTTTATGTGTGGTCTTTATAGTCCAATGCATTTCCAATTATAAATCCACCACTAAAAGCAATATTTTATAACAGTTCTTCTGCTCAGGGGTCCTACAATTATCAATCAGCCAAAATTTGCAGTCCAAAATGTTCAACCACCCAAGAGCAATTCAGGGGCTTCCCCCCTAGAAGAGTAGCCAAAAGTCAAGGTTTTTCTTTCTCTGCAGACAATTCTTGAGCCTAAAAATCACAGCTCAGTAGGTGTTTATAATCTAAGGTCAACAAATTTTTTTGCAATTGTAGTTCTCACTCTGTAGTAGATAGCCCAATGTATTTTCTCTCCTCTGTTCCCAGCTGTTCTTTGTTTAGCTGAGAGTTGGTGAGGATCAAAGGGACAGGTCTTTATCTGTTTCTGGGCATCTTGCCAGTTTTTGAGCCAAGGCAGCTATAATTTTATACTCTTAATGATCCACCACTAGATGTCAGTAACTGTTCATTTTCCAACTTTTAAAGCAGACAATTATTTTCTTGTAAATTCATCAATGGTCTTTCAAAGGGAAGATCTTAACAATTTCCACAATTTTTAAATTTATCCAGACTATAGCTTTATATTAAATTCCATTTCAATATGTTTCTGTTCCCCATAAAAATTAGAGCCGCTTCCATCTATGGAAGGGTGGGGCCTTCCTTCTACTTTTGGAGGATTTTTGCTTCTTGGGGATCTTTTCCAGGAAATTAGTTGCAGGATAGAAGAGAATAGATTGATATTCTCATCCAGTTTCAAGCACGCTGTTCACATTTGTTCTAGTTAGTGCTTTTGGACTTTAGATGCCGGTACCTGGGGCTAGCCACTGAAGTGCAGCTAGCCTTTCTCCTGTCGGTTTGGAGGGCTTCCCCAGGATCAAACGGATCGACCGCCATCTTTCCGTGATCCATGGGGGCCCCTCCTTCTTTGTCAGCTCTCTGGGGCAACTTTAGACCCATTTAGGGTCCCCTGGCAGGATGAAATCAGCCGTGGGATGCGGAGCTATGATGCAAAACCGGAAGTCTCCCTGTGACGCAAAACCTGCCAGCTTAGTGTCATCTGCAGATCTGATGAGTTCCCCTTCTATTCCCTCATCTAAGTCATTGATGAAGATATTGAAGAGTGCTGGGCCTGAGAGGGAACCTAAGTCCTAAGAAACTTTTCTTTGCCGTTACAGGTTGCCCTGACTGTAAAAGCCCTCCAAAGATACCGGATGGGGACTGACATGTCTCTCTTTGCCACAGATCAGTTTGGCCCCGATCCCACGGCAGGATATCCGGAACACCCTCCCACCAGCGGTGGCATCGAAAGCACAGAAGCCTATCAGAGCCCACCGTTCTCTGAGACCCTAAGCACCAGTCCCAAAGGTTACCAGGTGCCAGCTTACTGAAAGGGCAGGTGATTCCCCCCCCATAAGGTTTCAGAGCAAACCGGAGCCAGACCCAGAAAAATGGGCTGACACCCCACAAGGTGCAAGTATAGTCAATAGATTGGTTGCAAGTGTATTCAAAAGTACTTTCATTTTCCTTTTTTTTTTTTTTAAATATATGGCGAGTTATGTGCTGGGTTAAACTTACTCTTAGCTAATGGTGCAGTGAATTCTGTACAGTGGTTCTTGTCTTATCTGTCCAAGGATATTTTTATATTAAAAAGGAAAAGAAGGGCAACAGTGTTCCCTCTAAGCAGGAAACTCTAGAAAAGCTGTAATTCCCATTTCCCTGACTACAGTGGCATTTACTCATGTGACGCTTGGCTGGCAAGACACAGGGGCACTGGAGGGGTGTGGGTGCCCCAAAAGACCAGATGGCAGCCACCACTGCATGATCAAAGCCCTGTTCCTTGTTTGTAGGTATCACGAATACTCAAGGGACCAGCCAGATAGAGTGCCCATCTTTCCTGGCCAGCTGGTACTTCATCAAGTACTTCCAAGGTAATAAAAAAAAATAATTCTCCCAGACATTCCTAGAAGCCTGTCTTCTCTTTCCTTTTCAATTTTCTTTCCTCCTAGAAAGAACTTAGAAAAGTTAAAAAGGGATGTGCCAAATTAAAATACCAGATAGCTGTGTTATCTTCTCTGATGTATAGTTGGGTGTATATAGGTGCTATACTTCGGACAATAAATGTGTATATATGCTGCACATATGTGTTTCTGGTATTCCAGGACACTTTGTTGTTTAAATTGTGCACTTAAAAAGCTAAACCTTGTTCCATTCCAGAAATCAAACCAATAAAAGTCCTTTAACAGTAAGAAATGTAGCATTTGGCCAACTTAGGTGCCATCTCAAGATTTGGTGGCTCCTATGGTCTCCTCTTCTTTGAAGAATCATCATTCTTGTTGAGAAATCAGAAGGGGGAAGGGAAACTTGGGAGGATACCCAAGGACAAAAGTGGAGACTTGATTGGGGGCACTGGGTGGCCCCAAAGATTGATCAAGATTACTGACATTTGGCATACTTTTTTTCATCATGAATAAGACCAAAATGTTATCCCTGCCACCCCTTTAAAATAGCCATGTCTCATGTTGAGACTACCTACGCTTTCCTCTGAAACAAAGATCCATGTTGGCCCAATAAGCATTGTAATATTGAGGAAATTCCCCCTTTCCTTTGCAAATCAAGTAACCTTTCTTAGGGACAGTGAGACCCTTACGTTTCAAAAGCAAAAGTATTCATATATAATTCCCCCATAAAGGACCAGAAAATTGATATAGAACAAAGAGAATGGAAACAGTTTTTTATAAGAAAAAGAAATTATTTTAAATAATTTCAGCTGCAATAGGGGAATGTGGTCTCAGGATCCTCCTGCAGAGACGGGTGTCTCAGTATTCTTATAAAATCTAAATTTATTAGGACTTTTCCAAGTACAAATAAACATGAAAGTGGGATAATATATATTTTAGCTGCCTCAGATATCTTGGAGTGGAAAAGGCAGAATACAAATAGAAATAGTAAATAACCAATACATTAAATTTTCACAGACTGTTAAAATGGCCGTGGTCATATTTCAGCCTTAAAACACACCAGATTTGATTCTGTAAGGTGATCAAGTCAGCCTTGGCAGTTCAAAAGCAGTGCAAGATTGAAGATGTTTTTAAAACAGGGTAGAATTGAAGCAATACAGTATTTTCCTTAGAGAGAACACTGGCACAATAGCAGCCCACAAAACTTGTGTTTCAGCATTTTAGGAAGAAACCATGCAGACTCGGAAGCAGAACTATCAAATATTTAAATGTTTCTCTTGATTGTACATGTGAAATAAATGTCTATTGAGTAGTGTATTTTTTTCCTAATTATAAAGAAACCCATTTGAGAGTATCCTTGTGCTAAGTGTAAGGGAAAACAAACAAACAGGAGATTATGTTGTCGGAGTGGTAGAACCCTCTTAATCACTGTTAATGTGCTAGTATAGATCACCGTTCTGAATGTATGCACGTTACCTGCGCACGTTATTTCCTTCCTTTCAGCCTCCCGAGCTTAAGGGGAGAGGTGGCTTGGTGGTGTGGCCAAAGCTGTGTCATGCAGCATTCACAACTCAGGGTGACATTGACCACGGAATGGACTAAAACACTGTGTGTGTGTGTGTGTGTGTGTGTGTGAGAGAGAGAGAGAGAGAGAGAGAGAGAGAGAGAGATTCTGGCTCAAGATCACCCCAAGATGGTGGCTGGGACGCTGGCACTGCACTGGAGGTGGCTGCTAGTTGGCTGGAAGTGCGGGAGCTCTGGATCCCCCTCCTCACGCTTGACAAGGGCCAAGCGGCACAATTCCTCAGCACAAACTTGTAGCAAATGGGGCACAGCAGCCATGTTGCTTTCTGTGGCAATTCTTTCCTTAGCTGTGGCAAAAAGGCAGTCTTTTCTCACCAGGGGCTCTATCTGGAACAACTCCCTAGCGCCCCCCCCCCCCCATGTAACCAGATATGTTAGGATTATCCCAGTTCTAAAACTCTTTTTTATGGGGCTGTTATCACTTTCCCAAATAATGTGCTAAAATAAGAGAGGTCCAGGGAAGAATTTCAGAGAACACAAAGCTTTTATCCCCCCTAAAATTGTCTAGTGCACCCGATTTGCTCTTGGGAAGCCACGGGGTTTCCAAACGCTTCCCCCTGCCCAGAGTCCTCAGGCAGGAGGACTGGCATCCAGCCCTCCCCCACCCAGCAGGTGCCAAAGGTGTGAGAAAAGCTGGCATTTTATTCTAAGTCAAGAGGAGAGAGGCAAGCTGATGCAGCCATACAAACCACACAAGTGCTGCTTAAACAGCACGACCCACAAGACCATTAGAAGGCTAAGTTGTTTGGAAAGCAAAGCCAGACCAAAAGCCTCCCCCATGCAGCACTCGGCCCCAGCCAGGCCCCCACTGGCAGATCCTGGAGGCGGTAATAAGAGCAGCTCACCCTCCGGTCTTTTCTTCGCTCCCTGTTCAGTCGCCCCATGGATATATGCAGTATCCCTTACTTTTGTGAATTCATTCCCTACTTTTTTTCATTCCACTATTCTGCAAGACAAAATCCCATGCGTACATTTACACACTACTAAAGCAGCCCCCCCCCACCGCTTTCCTTCTGCAGAAACCAAAAGATCCCAAATGCGATCCAAGAATGGGCCAGAAGCCTCGGCCTTTGGCTAGGACTCTGCGATTGCCCTTTCTTCATTTTGGCTGCTTTTTTCAGCTCCGTCTCATTGTCCCAGAGAGCACTGCAGGCACTGAGGGGCAGGAGAATAGAAACCATCACCATTTCAGGAGGAGGAGAAGGAGGAGGGTGTTTCCCTTGGGTTTCCAGGCAGGGACTTGGAACTCCCAAGACCAATACAACTGGTTTTTTTTTTGGACGGCTGGTGGTCTCCCGGGCAGCATCCTCAGCACACCCACCGGCCCCTTTTATGTGCCAGCAAAAAGCAAGTTGGCATTTCAAGGATGATCTTGCCAAGGTTTTCCATTGTTAATCCTCCACTCGGCTCAATCCCAGCAGCAAAAGGCCTCCCTTTTCATGGCTCAGCACTTTGGCCTTGTCTTGCACAAGCAAGAAAACCCTCCCTCGTTTCACCAGCGCAGAAGGCAACGTTCCCCCGACAGAGATGCCTGCCTGCACTGGGCTCCGGTTCCCCTTAGCCCCAGCAGCCATGGAGCTAACAGGCAACCGAAGGCCGGTTGGAGGAGAGCCCTTGGAGACCAGCGATCCCTGTACGAGAGAGAAGAGCCTGGAATTGCTGTAACGCCATTTTGGCTTCTCTTTGTTTCTTGTTAAGGTTAATTCGGAGATCAGAAAGGCAGAGGCTTCCGTTTACCACGAACAGCAGGAAAAAAGTTGCCACTTTAAGTAATCCAACATGCACTGTGACAGAAAAGTGGACCATGTGAATTTTTTAATGTTTACATTTTTTATGTATATAATTATAGCTATACATTTTGAAAAACAGATTAGTCTTGTGATTGTGCTAATTTAACTGTTGGTGTTGCGATTATAACTTATTTTCCAATAAAGAGTTAAAAGGAAGAGCCTGAAACTTGTCAAAATGTTCCTCAGGAAGGGAGGCCACCAGGTGATCCAAACGGCTGGTGCAGGCTTATCAACAGCCATCCTCTTGGACAGGCATGACAGCATTGCCAACAGTACTTAAGTCACGTGTGGCAGGAGCATTCCAGGATGCCAGGCAACTGAGTGGGAGCAGGTGTCCTGCCCCAGCCTGAGACCTGATGGGTCTTGTTCTCAGGTATCAAGGAGCCCCAGTCAAACCAAATGATGGGGGAGCCACTATAAGCAGCAGCAGCAGCAGCAGCTTCTTTGTCTTCCATTGATGCCACTGGAAGGCTCAGCTGTAAAACTCTGCAATGTAAGCCGTTATTTTCATTGGAGAGCCCCAAAGAAACAGGAGCTTGGGGCAAAAGGCATCTAGCAGCCCCACAGAATCCTCAGGACCCACACAAGGTCTCATCACAAGGCATTCAGGAAGTGAGAAAGTCATGTCCCCACCAGAAGGAACAGGCCCAATGGGAGCGGGGGAAGGCAAAGGAGATCCCTGAATGTGTTAAGGATGGGAGGACTTCCTTGAACTGATCGGCACTCCCATGCATTGGCTGAAGTTGAAAAGAGCCCCAGATTTTATTGTACTTACACTGAAAAAAGTTGAAATAACTGAAAAAAGTTGGCTGAAAAGCACAAATTTTAAGACCTAAAAACAGTAAATTGAACTTTGTCTAATGACAAAATAAACCTTGTCTGAGACTGAGGCTCCGGGTCTCCTTACAAGCATTGCCAACATAAAAGAATGAACAATTCCAGCTCACTTCAAAAGAGCCCACCGTTTGGGAACTCAATGGCCAACTTAATACAGCAATGGGCTCTGCAAATAGTGACTTTAAAAAACACTAATAGGCCATTTTTCCTCTTGAAAATTGAGGGACTGCAATACCAAATCTTCAGCAATTAAAGCCAGCCCACGAAAATAATGTGCCAGATCTTTAGATTGAGCTTTACTCAGTTTTGCTTTGCAAGACATCAAACGGTTTCTGTAATTTTTTCCCTCTAAATAGAGGCAATGGGAAGTAGCACAATCCAATTATATGCCACATACATACACACGTACACAAAATAAAACTTCAAGGGGCCTGTGCTAGGTCTTGAATACTCATATGTGGTTGTGTGTGTGAGAGAGAGAGGGGGGGGGGCACAGAAAATCATAAATCATATTTATAACCGTCTACTCTGGAATGCTACTGTAAAAAGCTAGTGGTGCCTCTGGCCACTGTTCCAGTCTCAAGGCCCCGTCTGTGGAAGCAACTCAACCCTCCTTCGGTGGAGATGATCTGGAGGAGGAGCAGGACGGAAGCCAGGGGCAGCAGCAGGCAGGCCACACCCTGGGCATCCAAGGCCATTGGGGCAGAGATCCAGGCAAGCAGCCCTTTTCAAGAACAGGCCAGGATGACCCTGAGGCATCAGGGAGTGGGGTCACCGCTGAGCAGCATTTAATGAGCCACAACCACTCAAGACCACGGAAATAACGGATCTCACATCACTGGACAGAAATCCACATTTACAGTGAGAAGTAAAGAAAGCGCTGGATGGTACCTCTCCCCCGCATGCAATTCTAACAGAGCAAAATGAAAGAGCTGAGGTTTCCTTTAGAAAGAACTTGAGAGAAGCAGATTCTGACTTCTTGGGCAATTCCTCTGCCTGAGGACAAGCAGCAAAGTCCTCTCTGCAAAACACTGTTAAGGATAAAGGAAAGAAGGACAGAGAAAGACCACACGGCATTCACTATTCTCAACTCTCTCCCATCTTCTGGAATCTTTTTGTACAGACCCTGTGAGCCGCTCTCCGTTATTTCTCAGCAGCCAAGCCCAACCTTCCCCTTTTCAGAAAGCAGCAGCAGCAGCAGCAGCTCCCCTCTGCCCAGCATCCTTGCTGCAGCCAGCCAGCCAGGAGTTAAATTCTTTGCTCCGTCCTATTCTGCAGAGAAGAAGGACTGCCGCCCCCAGCCTCCATTTAATTCCCCCGGCTTTTCTTCCTCAGGCCCCGAGGCCCTTTGGCCCACGTGCACCGCTGGCTCCTCTCCCCTCCCTCGGTGGAGAACCTGCCTGAGAAGAGCCAATTTTCAGAGGGAGACTAACTTTATTGGTCAGCTGGGATGGCTAGCTGATGATCCGGCTAATGGCCTGCAAGGAAGGGAACTCCTCCTCCTCCAGGTGCAGGGCTTGGTGAGAAACGAGGTCCTGCTGGGTCAGCACCTGCTGGCAGGTGGGGCAGACGCAGCAGTCAAGGTCGGAAGCCGGCTCGGTCTGCCAAACCACCTTTCGGTTCTTCTTGGACCTGCTCAAGGAGGAGGGGGAGGAGCCAGCTGGAGCTTTGGCCTTCAAGTCATTGTAAGCAGAGAGCAGTTCCTGTTGCTTGGCTGTGTCTGGCAGGAGGACCAAGAGCTCGTTGAAGATCTTCCTGAAGTTCGCGCCCAAGAGCTCCTGGCAGCTTCTGTAGTACTGCTCTGCTGAAATCAGACCCTAAGAAGGAAAATGGGACAGTCAGAAAAAAGAAGTGAAAAAAGCTTCGCCTGAATTGGAGCTAAGACAAGTGGAAGCTCAGACCTGTGGGTGGCACAAATATATTAGATCACAAACACAATCCTTATGTGCAAGAATAAAGAAAAGAGATCCCATGAAAGTTTTTTCTCCATAGCCAAAGAAGTCATCCAATAACAGATCCTTCTCCCACTTTGCATAAGGATTTGGCAATTCCAGCAGGAGAAAGCAAGAAAACAGAACTCATCAAATTTGTAGACAACACTAAGCTGGGGGGAATTGCCAACACTTTAGAAGATAGGCTCAAGATCTAGAGGGATCTTGACAGACTTGAACACTGGGCCCTATCCAACTAAATGCAATTCAGTGGTGAGAAAAGTAAGGTTTTTCACTTAGGCAAGAAAAGCCAAATGCACAGGTACAGAATAGCAGGTACCTGGCACAACAGCAGTAACTGTGAGAGGGATCTAGGAGTCCTAGTGGACCACCTCTCAAGCATGAGCCCGCAATGTCCTGCAGCTGCCAAAAACGTCCATGCAGTCCTGGGCTGCATCAACAGCGGACAGAATCAAGATCATGTTAAGTGTTAGTACCACTGTATACTGCACTGGTGAGACCACCGTTGCAATACTGCGTCCACCTCTGGGCACCACAATACAAGAAAGAGGCCGAGACCCTAGAAAGAGTACAAAGAGCAACAAAGATGACAAGGGCTCTGGAGGCTGGACAGCCATTTGTCTCTGTCTGCTGTGTATTGGCCAGGGACCAGGGCAGACATTTTGCCATGAAAACTTCAGCCATTTCTTGGAATACAATGTCAGGAAGAGAAGACCAAGAAGTAAACAAAGCAGACAAGGGCACTAAAAACAGCAGCAAAAAGCTTTACTCCCCTCTCTGTAAGAGTGCTCATCATGTTGGATCGCAGCCTCAAATGTGAGGCTTCTGGAATCTATTATGTATTCAGCTAAGTAAGAGCTGAATAATCCCCAACCATGGTTTGTTTCGGATGTCAAGGTTTCAACTCTCATCTACTTACAAAGTAATTCATAAAATCTGAAGCACTTTCTATTTCCAGTTCTTTTTAATGAAGTAGAAGCAGGTAAAAACAACAGGCACATAGCAGATGTTTCTGCTGGGTTCTCAAATGACAATCCTATTTAGGGGGCCTCATAGTTTTAAGTATAACTTCTGGGCCGATCCCCAGTTTCTACCTTAGCAATCAGGCCCAAGAAGCCCCGGAAGCTGCCGCCCTCCGTCTCCTCCTGATCCCCCTGAGGTTAAGGGGCATCACCTTCTGCGAGTGGAGAAAGGCTCAGTTGGGAGAAGGCCTCCCTGCCGTCACCCGGGCCAGGGAGAACTGCAGGCCTCCTGGCAGGCCTGGCTTTGGAGCATGGCTCCTGTCAGCAGACAGATCCGATTCTCGCTTACAGACCTTACTCGGGATCAAGGGCAAAAGTCCTGCTTCCCACCAGAATAAGCTCTCGCCCCATTTCTGAGGATAATGCCAAGTCCCCAAGGATTTTTTTTTTGGGGGGGGGGGGACACTGGTCAGCCTGCTTCACTCAATCTTACACATGACTGAGCACACCCAAGGGACCACGCCTGTTAATACCAGAAGATACTGTTTTTCAGCAAATCTCTAAACACATCTCTAATCCTGGAGACCGTTGGTTGAATTAAAAGGCATCTCTCTATTTTGAGACCCGACATGAGTTTGTGCTGGACTCGGAAGAAGCTGGATAGAAAGAATACTGGTATATTCAAACTTTGGGCTTGGAGAAAACTCCTGCGGCAGCCATGAAAATAAACGAATGGACCACTGAACAAACTATTCAGAGTTCTCACCTGAGGCACAACTGGCCAGGCTCAAATTATTCTACCTCGGAGGCATCATGTGAGAAGTCTACCATGCTGGGAAAAGGGGAAGAAAGGGAAGGGGATGACCAGGACTGTGGGGGAGGGACTCAGCTTCAGTAGTGATAGAAGGACCACTTTAGAGACAGACTGTCATGGAAAACATCTATCTATGTACTTGACAACAGCTGACACGGACGTGATGGCACATAAATCCATCAGTCAGTTTGTGCACATTTATGCTACTGGATTGGGGCTTCTTAGGGAGAGCTCTGAAACCCCAATTTTCAAAGATAAGACAGGTATGGAAAAGAAAAAGAGGAGTGTCAAAGAGAACAGTCACGCCGGTCCCCATTGCTCACCAATCCTTTCCCTGAAAGGGGCACCCAAGCAGTCAGGCCCTTCTCTGATCTTGGCAGGGAAGGCAAAAGGAAGCCAAGGTCTTCCTTCTCACTGCAGAGAATGAGGCAAGACTGAGAGAGAAGCGCAAAGGAAGGGATCCTTGGGCCCAGCAATTGCTTTAAAGCTCACAAGAGTTTGCCTCAGTTCCTCTAAATCTGCTAATTTAGATTAGCCTGGAAACAGGGCAGGAGAGTCAACATCCTCTTCACTTTATTAAGACAATCTGACCTAGACAACAAACATTCCTGAATTTGCCCCAGAACCTGGATTGTCTTTGTGCTGAACTTGAATAAGAAACAAAAAAGGCTTGTACCAACTTCAGTGTCAAGTAGCCAACATTTCTTTATTAGATTTACATCCCCCTTTCATTCTGGAGTCAAAGAAGCATCCCAAATATTCCCCATTGTTTCCCCATTGCTCAGCTATGATCGTGGGACCTAGAGTCATCCAGTGAGCTTCCGTGGCTGAGGATGGCTTAGAGTGGGGTTCTCTCTGTTCTTAGTCCAACACCTTCCCTATTCCCCTCCATCAGCTCTCAGACATGACGATCACTCGGCTCAAATCAAACCTTTATTATGGGCCTTTGGGCCAAAAAGGACAGCAGTAAAATGCACAGACCTGTAATTATGAATAAAACAATAAAGTTACATAAAATATACTATTAAGGCGACTGTAGTACAAATAGCGATGACAATCACCGCCATTTGTGCTAAATGTCAATTGTAGATAGGGCGGATACACCAAATCGAGCCATCTGGAAAGACCCGTCAGTCCTGGTCAAATAGAAGCCGTGACTGACAGGGAGACTATGCAGCCTCTGCCAGGGCAGTTCTTTAAAATGGGATCAATATATCCCTTCTCCGATTCCCTACAGAGAAAGGACATCGCTTAAGGATTCCACGGAGCCCTCTCCGCATGGACAGAAGCACTGCTGCAAAGGGATGTTTTTATACTGCTTCCCCTAAACTGCAGGGAGTAGTGCATCCAACTTGGCCAAGGTGAAAGCCCAACAAAATTTCAGAAGGTGAATTGAAGAGAGATAAGATGATGGCACACACCTATGTCAGAAGAATCCATGACCTGCAGAATTGGATACGAGGTTTAAACTGGTTTGAAAAACAATATTCCAGATATGCTGTTTAATCAGACTGCTAGCTGGTTAATCACCATGTCAGTCTCACTTCTACCAACAATAACGAATACTTTCTCACAAAGAGATGTTCACCTAAAGACAGATTCACAATTCTGAGGAAAACCCCACAAGCGTCAGCTGCGCCATGAAATTACTGGAAAATTAATTTCCTGGCTACTCACCTGCCTGAACTGCCCCGAGTACGTCTTAAATTTGTTGAACTGAGATTCATCTTCTTGAAGAAATTCTCTGATTGACTGAATTAGCCGGATGTTCCGTTGCTGGAAGTTGTCCAGGATCAGATAGGGTCCCTGACAGAGTTTGGGCCTGTTTTTAGAAAAGAAAAACGTAGCTATCTGTACAGAGAAGCACCAAGTGATCTATCGCTGTTGTTCTCTGAAGCTGTGAAGAATATCCCCAGCCAGAAATTCCTAAACCGGATGCCAGAGCCCAGAATCAAGAATTCCTAGAGGTGGAAGAGGCCACCATTTGCCCAGGGCCAGAATCCAAAATCCAACCATCTCAGACAGATGCCTGTCCAAAGGGCCACACAGCCAGGGCTCCTGTCAAGGTTCTGCTACAATGGGCCTGCCTTCCAGGGGGGCTCAGGGCTCCTTCTCTGCAATATCCCCCCCCCCGGTTGTCACAGATGCCTCTAACCCAGGCATCATCCGGCCTGTGATGTGGCTAGATGTGGGGCCGCCCTGGAGACAGTGAGGGACCGGCCCCTGCTGCCTTGGCCCCGACCGGCCGGGAGCCGATCTACAACTTCATGGCAGCCATGGGTGCCGGAACGTGGTCAATCTTAGATCCGCAGGGCTGCCCTAGAGACAGCGAGGGGCGCACAGGTGGCAGCGAAAAACAGGCAAGAAACGCAGCTGGGGAGGGGTCACTCTCTGTGAGGAATGAGGAAAGAAACCTCCTGGAGGTGACCAGCAAATGGCCCTCGCTCACTTCACACACCCCTGGACTCCAGGGGCGGGGACACCGCAAGCGGAGTGAGGGTCCACATTACCTGCACAACGCTGTCCAGCCCCAGCCTGCCCGGTTTTAGCAGGCAGCGACACGCTCTCCTCACAGCACAGAGAGGCCGGGCCGGGCGAGGTGAAGCTGGTGAGAAGCCGAACCTGCGTTGAGTGCACAGGGGCAGGCAGCGCGCGGGGCCTGGCGTCCCGGGTGAAAGGGAAGCGCTCAGAAGGCGGTCAGCCTGCGGGGCAAAATGGTCACCCGGGACATCAGGCCCCCCACGCTTGCCACCTCCTGTGCGCCCAGGCAGGTTCGGCTTCTCACCAGCTTTGCCTCACCCACCAGCTGGGGGCTGGGCGTCGTCGCATAGGTAAGGTGGACTCTCACGCCACTGGCGGCATCCCCTCTTCTGGAGCCCACTGAGCTACGTGTCGGAAGTGGGCAAGGGCCATTTGCTGGTCTCCTCCAGGGGAGGGCGCCTTTCCTCATTCCTCACGGAGGGCGGCCCCTCCCCAGCTGCGTCTCTTGCCTGTTCTTCTCCCTCCCCTCCCTCATCGCAAATATCTTCCCACCACTCTGCTCTTAAGACTGTGTGGCTCCGGTCCAGGAATTTTAAGTTTCTGTTAATAGGGAGGGAGGGTCTGAGGGAAGTCCTTCCTTAGCACTTGGCCACCAGCAGTCCTGCTGCCCTTTCGCCATCCCCTTGCCCCCTCCTCCTGGCCTCTCCTGGTGGTCTTCCATCCTATTGCTGAGGATGTCTCCCTCTGACCCACACACTTTGCCACTAGGAGCAACCTGGTCAAGGAGAGTGAGCACAGCAGCAGCAGCCTCAAGGAGGAGGTAGCGCAGCTGGGCGCCCCCTCGGGAAAGTGGGGCTGGGCTGGAGGATCCCGGGAGCTCTCAAGGGTCAAATCTTTTCAGTACACTTACAGAAAGGAAGACTTTGTAAATCTAAGCAGTAGTTAATAAATAGAACAGAGAGGCTGCAAAATATTAGCAGCAGCTGTTTAAGCTGTCAAGTATAAAATGGACTACCATAAAGATAATCTCTACAACCTTGAGCAGAAAACCCCAGGCCGATCCTTCTGGAGAGAGCATCTCCCCAGTCCCCAGAGGCCTTCCTCCCTGGCACCACCGCCTGAGGCTCAGACGCTGGCAAAACCGGCACCGGAGCCACTCAGAGGAGACTGGAAGCACCGGAGACCCGGAAGGGCAACGCTCTCACTTACTCTTTCACAGGAGCCGAGGCATTTTCTGAAACACTGCTGGGTGGAATAGGAGTGAAGCCAGGGGGTGGTTTACTAAGAGGCACCGACAGCCCAGGAGGGGGTGGGGGGCCATTAAGTAGCACCACAGAATTGAAGCCTAAAAAACAGGGAGGAGAGAAAGTTAGAAAGCAGTTAGAGCAGGCACGGACGGCCCCAAGCTGCTTCACCACTCTCGCCCTTGTCGCATCCTGACCCCCTAATCCTAATCCCAGTTCAATAAAGAAGTTATAAAGCCACGAGGTGTAAGAAGCAAATGCAACTCAGCGGTGGAGAACATCTGAGCCGTAGGACAGAATCCCAGGGCAGCCACTGCTAAAAGGGTTCCAGGCAGGTGATCTGGAGGAGGAGAAGAAGAAGATGGCCCGGAGGGAAGGCTCAAGGCCTGAGCCTGCTGCTGCTCAGTGTCTACTCCGTGCCTAAACCAGCTCTCCATGAAGGGCTGAGGGAAGGCTCCGATATCTGGCTGCCCATCGGTGCAGCCAGAAACCTCAGCACAGCTTGCTTCCCAAAGCCAAGTTCAACTGCCCCATTTTGCTTTCCTGCAGCTCTTCCAGGCCTTTCCCCAAACCCAGGATTGAGGAGGAGCCCTTACCTGGGGGTGGAGGCATCCGAGGTGGCCCGGCATTCCCAAGGGCTGGAAAGTCTTCCTGAGGCAACAGGCACTGGCCACCCCCGTGTGGCTTCTTAAGGCCCGGGGGCTCTTTGGAAGCACTGCACGGCAGCGTGGACTTTTCTGCGTGGCCGTTCACCAGAGCGGCAGAGGTGCTGGGCAGGTTAGGACCGGCAGCGATGGCCGAGGGCTGCTCAGCATCTTCCACCTTCTCGAGAGAGTGGAGGGCGTCTGGCATCTCCTGCAAGCCGGACGGCGAGGCTGTTCTCAGCTTCTCAGTCCCAACCTTCTTCTTCTTACCCACTTTGGCAAAAGTCTGAGAGTTAGAGGCTGCCAGCAACGAGGACACATCCACCATTGTTGGTGCGCTGCGGATTTCCTGAGTGGGCACACTGCCGCTGCCATCCTGAGAGTTGCCAGGGAGCATCACCTTGCTCTTCTTGCTTGCTTTACTGCTGCCGGGAGGGGCCCCTTTCCTGGCCGGCTGGCCGGCGGTGGCCAGCCCGGCTCGGGCCATGTTCTTGCTGGAGCCACCACTCCAGGCCGAGGCAAGGGTCGACACCATCTTACTGCTTGATTGGACTTTGGAGACCAGGGCGGGGAAGTCCTCCTCTTGAAAGCCTGTCTTTTGAGCTGTAGCCATGTAGGACAAGGGCAGAGCGGCAGAGACCACGGGCGGAGCAGAGGAGAAGGAGAGCCTGGGAAAGTCCTCTTCATCAAGTTTTACTGGCGCCAACTGAGATGAGCTGAAAAAGAAACCACTTAGGTAGGACAACCCCTCCCTCTGCAACCTTATTTATTTATTTATATTTGAATTTATATTTGAATTTATATCCCGCCCTTCTCCCGTAGGACTCAGGGCGGCTGACAATCTATTTAAAATACATACAGGACAATACAAATTTAAAATTAATTAAAAAGAATATTAAATATTTGTCGAATTAAAATATAATTAAAACCCCCCTAAAAATTACCCTAGGCCAGTCCTGCAAGCTGGAATAACCAAGTCTTGAGGGCGCGGCGAAAGGAAGGGAGATCCGGGATAACCCTGATCTCTGGGGGCAGTTCATTCCAGAGGGTGGGAGCTCCCACAGAGAAGGCCCTCCCCCTTGGGGTCGCCAGCCGGCACTGTCTGGCCGACGGCACCCTGAGGAGACCCACTCTATGGGAGCGTACCTTGAGGCAAAGATGCCCATCTGGGACTCCAGTCCCTATTTGTGGGTGGGGATGAGAGACTCTTTCCAAGCCCAGCTGAAGCCAGACAAGGCTCTGAGGGTGGAGAGAACAGAAGGGCAGTCTAGACCCAAGTGCCCTGAGGATTAGTGAATGTTTCAAGGCAAACCCTCCATGTGGCTTCAAAGGGGCACCAGAGGACTTCCAGAGGGGAGCAATTTTAGCCACTGGGGGCAGTCCTGAAAACGTGAGAGAGGCCGAGTTCTTTCCCACAGCAGCCGTGGGAGAAAGCAGAAGCAGCCTCACCATCGCTGGCGTTAGATTCTAAGGCTGGAGGGAGGCTTCCTACACTCTCTTCTCTGCCTCACAATTCGGACCTGAAGCTTCAAGCTGGCAGAAGGAAATGGATCCAGGTTTGGAGGGAGAAACAGGGGTGTCTGTGCAGACTTAGCAAAGGGCCATCACAACTGGAGGAGAGAGAGCTTTTCTGAAATGGCCTTAGCCGTTATGCTCTGAAGACTGGAGTCTGACCCGTTTCTGCAAGGCCTTCCTCACATCTTGTGGGGAGAATCCCTGATCTTTTGGCCAGTTTATTTCTCCACACAACCAAAGACTCACCTCTGCACAGAATTCACGGTTGGCGAGCCGACGGCAGGAAAATCATCTTGCCTTAAGGCAGCCTTGGGAACCACTTCCTTGGGAACTTAGGAAAAACAGAGGACACAACCTAATCAAAAGGGCCATTGAGAGTCCAACAAGAGGCACGAAGGAGCCCAGAGCCCGAGGCAAAGCCCGCCAGAGTTCTTCAGGACAGAGCGAGGGCTCACCTGGTTCTTCGGATGAAGGCTTCACCCCTCGCTTAGAGATGGTTGGGTCAGGATCTTTGGCATCTTCCTTCTTGGCGCGACAGTTGTCCTCTTTGTCCTCAACCCGTTTTTTCTCTTCTTGCCTTTTGGCAGCCACTGATGCCCGAACAGCTGCGGCAACATCTCGGTCTTCTTCTTCTCTACAGAATTTTTCAAATCAACAAAACAAAGAGAAGTCGCATAGAAGTATTTCCCATACTTCCCAGGAGGGGAACAAGCAATGCTAAGATACTGTGGGCAAGACTCAGGAAAGGCAACCTGTTGTGGGGGAGGGGATGGATAACACCAGGAAGAAGTTATTAACCTAGACATCTCCTCACCTTTGAATCACAGCTGGAGGATCCAACAACCAGATCCAATTGCTACCCATTAGAACACAGCAAAAGGAAAATGCCCTTTCTCTCAACTTGTCATCGCCTCTTGAACATGGACCGGCATGCCCCACAATTAACGCTTTGCATAGAGAGTGATATTAGCCTTCACAACACCCTCTGGCCAGAAGCCGTTCTAGAATATCTAGCACTGGGGACCCACCAGCCACCCAAATATGGAAAGCTGCTGCTGTCCACATGCACCTGAAATGCGGCCTCAAGCCCAGCTCAGACTCCAAGGACTTGGGGATGGGGGGAGGAGGGAGCCTGTGATGAACCTGAAGCTGATTCTGCTGGCAAGTGTCCAGAGTGACTCAATCCAGCTGCCAGATGACCAGGAACCCGATCCCAAGCGACTACAGTCCTGTAACATGCTACTCTCCACACTGAGCGCAGTAAAGGCACTTAGTAGGTCTCACCTGACAGGGTCAGTCCAACAGCTGCCCAGTTGCAGCCCTCTGGAACGAACCCTTCTAATTTAGATTATGTGCCTGCATCTGTCACTCTCGTCCTGGACCAGCTGACAACTACCCACCAATATCAGGACTCCTGGACTATGACTCAATACTTCTGCCTGCTGCTTGGATCTCTTTGCAGATAAGCTTCAGATTGTGTTTGGCATTTTGCTAACGTGCACCTTTGCTCTCTATCTGCTGCTGCTGCCACCAGCATTTTGCGTTAAACAGAAGGCAATCCCTGTAGGAGAAGGACCAGCTGAGCTGGAAGGTGAGATTAAATGTGTCATCACTGCTTTGTCACAAGAAACCCAAGTCCAGCCCCTCCTCCCCTGAATTCCATCAACCCTTATCTAGCACCAGTTTAGCCTTGACCGTTAGTTGACTACGTTCTTGTGTATACAAAGCAATAATAAAAGTCTTCTGTGCTTTGAACTCATTGGATACTCTTGGTTATTTGGGTCTGACAATTCTTGAAACCTGCTCTCCGAGTCTGCATGACTGATGCAGGGAAGAGGAAATGTAGGTTCCATCTTAGGCCCAGCACTCTTCAACATCTTCATAAATGATTTAGATGAGGGAATAGAAGGGAAACTCATCAAATCTGCAGATAACTAAACTGGCAGGAATAGCCAATACCCCAGAAGACAAGGAGGAGCTTGACAGACTTGAACACTGGGCTCTATCTAACAAAAGGAAATTCAATGGAGAGAAAAGTAAGGTTTTACAGTTAGGCAGGAAAAACCAAATGTAAAAGTTACAGAAATATGGCTCAAAAGCAGATTGTCAGAAGGATCTTGGTCTCAATGGACAATCACTTAAATATGAGCCAGCAGTGTATGGCAACAGCCAGAAAAGTAAATACAATCCTAGGCTGCATTAACAGAAGGATAGAATCAAAATCACGTGAGTATTAGTAGTCAAATTTTAGTAAGACCACATCTGGAATACTGTGTCCAGTTTTGGTCAACTCATTATAAAAAAGATACTGAGACTTTGGAAAGAGTGCAGAGAGAAGCAACTAAGATGATTAAGGGGCTGGAGACTAAAACATATGAAGAACAGTTCAGGAAATGAGTATGAATAGTCTAGAGGAAAGAAGGACCAGGGGTGACATGATAGCAGTGTTCCAATATTTGAGAGACTGCCATGAAGAAGCCTCTTTCCAAAGGATGGCCAGAAACTGGCCTGGTTTGTATAAACAGAGATATAGAATCAAGATCACATGAAATATTAGTACCGCTTTATAAAACCCTAGTAAGACCACACCTGGAATACTGCAGCCAATTTTGGTCACCATACCACAAAAAGATGCTGAGAGTTTGGAAAAAAATCAGAGAAGAGCAACTAAGATGATCAAAGGCCTGGAGACTAAAACATATGAAGAACGGCTGCAGGACTTGTGTTTGGCCAGTCTACAGAAAAGAAGAAATAGGGGAGATATGATAGCAGTGTTCCAATATTTGAGGGGCTACCACAAAGAAGAAGGGGTCACTTTATTCACCAAAGCACCAGAGGGCAGGACAAGAAACAATGGTTGGAAATTGACCAAAGAGAGAAGCAACCTGGAATTAAGGAGAAAGTTTCCAACAGTGAGGACAATTAACCAGTGGAACAGCTAGCCTGCAGAAATCATGGGCGCTCCATCACTGGAGATTTTTAAGAAGAGGCCAGACAATCACCTGTCTGAGGTGGTATAGGTTCTTATGCTTGAGCAGGGGGCTGGACTAGAAGACCAGGTCCCTTCCAGCTCTATTCTATTCTAAACTGGAATAGGAAACTATTATTTAAAGTAGGTTTTCCATTAAAGCCAGCATTGCCGTTAGTTAATTTATAGAGCACAAGGCAAAAAAAAAAAAAAAAGGAGAACGTGGATTATGCCATGAGGAGTGAGAAGCTTTTACTGCAAGCTTCTTCTGGGCTGGCCTCTCTGCACAGGTCCCAGCCTGGTTTTGACTACATCCTGAAGCCAAATGGCTACTTCTCAGTTTGCATTCCAAGCTCCTGCCCACCTCAATGGAAACCACAACCGCTGCTCTTACCTCTTGTATCGCCAGCTGCCTCTCCTGTTCTGTTGTCCACCTCGGGCTCCTGACCTGCCTCCTCTCACCTGCCTGTTATATCTATCAACTTCCTCATAGTCTTCACCACCGACAATACCTGGAACATAAACACAAGACTAAGACAATCTAAAAAAAGAAAGCTGAATTCTAGGCTTGATTTATACGCAAGTCAAGTTAGTTAACATTTTTATTCTAGTCAGAGGGCAGCGCAGAAGACCTTGTCATCCTGGCATCCCCAATTTCACCAGGCAAATCCTTCAACCCATAAGGACTGCAAACATGAAATTCTGAAATTGAGCACAGATAGTGCTCAAGTTACGACCATTTGTTTAGTGGTGGTTCAAAGTTACGATGGCCTTGGGAAAAAATGACTTGGAATCTGTACTTGTACTTACAACTGTCACACAGGACACCTCCCTAGTCACAGGGTCACAGTTTGGATGCTTGGCAACCAGCTCACATTTAAATCCAGTTGCAGCACGACTGCCATGTGCCACCTTTTTTTGCTGATTTCTGGCATAAAACTCATTGGGGAAGCTGGATTTGCTTAACTACAAGATTTGGTTAATATTGATTCACTTACCAACTGCCATAAAAATTGTCATAAAATTGGTTCCCATTAATGACCGCAACGACTTATGAGGGAAATTCTGGTCCCAACTGTGGTCATAAGTGGAGGACTACCAGCAAGATTTTGAAAAAAAAATTTTGGGCATTTTTCACTTAAACATCTGAGCAGATATTCTATACTTTTTCTGTCCTATGAGAAAGTGGAGTTCTGAAGGGAATGGTGAGGGAGTAAATGAAAGGGCAAATCGGGAAAACAGTGATGCCCGGCTGTGCCCAAAGGAACCGAGCAGGCAGTTCCACCTGGCTGGGAAGCAGCCACCAGAGGCTCCCTGCCCCCCCTCCGGCCCAGCCTACCCTCGCTTCTCCGCTGGTGTCTCGGGGCATAGTTGAACTGCAAGTCAATCTGCCGATTCTGCCTGGCTTCAGCTCGGTTTTTGCTGTGACAAGCTGTCTTGTGTGCTTTGTAGTCGATTTCGGTCCGAAAGGCATGGGTGAATTGCTCGGTGCTGCACCGACCTTCTTCGCAGAGGAAATGCTTCTCCCGGAAGTGTTCGCGGAGATACTCATAATCGCTGCAAGACAGAGAGACAGTGCACGGGTGCTTGTGGGCTCCATTCTGCTCTCAGATGGAGGCAATGATAGAAAGGGAGGCCAACCCAAAGTTACTCCACTGCACCAGTTTCTGGAATCATCCTGCAACCTCAGTGATGTATTTTCAGCCCAAATCTTAAAATACTCGCCTTTTCACAGGAACAGAAGACAGGTAGTCCAACCCCAACCTCCCTTGTATGCAGGATCTGCTAAATCTACAGACTACACATATTGTATATAAAGCTTCTTAAACTTAAACTGTTCCTCATAGGAAGAGCTTTCCAGTCGCCCTCTGGGAAGCTCTTCTCTGAACTTTCTCCAGTTTGTCAACTTTGATAACAAGACCGGGCCCCGTATTCCACAGGAGAATTGAGGGAGAACAGGGTTTAGTGGAACAACTGCTTCCCATTATCTAGATTTTAAGTTTCTGTTAATACAGAATCTCAAAACAGTGCTTGCTTTTCAACAGCTGCACCCCACTGTTGTCTCTCATTCAACTGTGTTCTAGATTCTAGAAGAACATCCAAATTCTTTTTCTGTGAACCTATATTCTTCAATTAATTTTTAAGTATTTGCATTACAATAAAATAGTGGCACTTTGCATATTCTGTTTCCTGTAAACTTCACTGTTTGTTAGTTTTCAAATTTTAAATAACTGCAATCTCTCCAGAGAAAATTGAAAATTAGTCAGATTAACAGCATAATGAGCAAGCAAATAAAAGAAGGGAAATAATGAGCCCAATTTGACTATCAGCATGAAGCTTGTTGACCACGGCAAGGCGGGGCCCAGCCCTTCATCTTGTCAGCTACTGTTGTCTCTTTCCCACCCAGTACCAGCTCAGGGGCATACTGCAAACTGTTCCAGAGTCAAAGATGTAGTGTGAGCAATTACTATGATTGCTGTCAGCCCAACTTGATCAGACCAGGAAATCAACTCCACTGGAAGGTTAAATCTATTTTTTATTGAGATTGGCAACCTTATAAGACTGATTATGCTGTGCCTTCTCCTTTCTAGAGTTCAGTGAATTAGGGAGGCCTCTGTCTGAGCCATCTGGATATTTTTATCAAAGTCTTCTTCCTTACTCTCTAGCGACAATTTGGGGGCTCAGCTGGAGTCACAGACCTGTAATATTCTTGAGCTCCATCAGAATCACAGAAGTGGCAGAAATAGTGGTCTCTCCTCAGGTGCTTTAGCAACTCATCATTATCCAAATATCGCTCGTCACAAAATTTACACAAGGGGTGCCCACGGTGAGATGTGTCATCAGGATCCCCATGGATTCTGTGCCGAGCAAGATCCTTGCGTGAATACCATTTGCGCTCATATGTAAAGATCTGGAACGCAAGAGGGAACGTCCTTCACATTTTCATAGAAACGGATCGCCCAAGATGCGAGCCTCCCCCCCCCCCAGGCCCTTCATCTGCGTCCCTCCCCACCGCTTGCCTTCAGGTGCTTCACGCAGAGCTTGCAGCAAAAGAGCTCGTGCTGCTTCCTCATGTGCTGCTCCAACTCCACAATGGCAGGAAATGCCCGGGACTCCGAGCACAGAGGGCATTCGTGCTGCAGCAGCTTCCTAGGAGGGGGAAAGGCGCACATGAGGGACAGCAGCCGCAGGACGCCTCAGCCCCTCACCCCAGTTCTCGCATGGGGGCATCTTTCCCTCTGCCTTTGCGCACACTAATTTCACAGCAGCTTTTGTGCTTTCCCCCCCCTTCCTTTCCTATGCTCTGTGGGTTTTTATTAAATAAATACATAAATGTAAGGTTTTGCATAAAAAGGCAAATACATTTATTTTGCATAATTCTTTCTGCACAGTACAAGAGCAGTTTCCTCTCAGTTTGGTTAGCTGCCTCTCTGACTCCTAAACACACTGGTAAAGAACTCCAGGTACAGGTGAAATTCTCAATATACATATACACATGAAATATTTCACATTTGAAAGCAAAAGTGTTTGTCAGAATTCTTGCATTAGTACTTTACATTTTTCTTAATTCATACTAATTGGAGCTTGGAGAGCTGTGTTTCTTGATCATTTCCAGACTAACAATTGCTACAGTTCTGGCAAGTGCTGCCCAGAGGGTCTCCCGGAAAATTCATTCATTTCATTCACTCTCCAGACAATTTTCAAATGTACCTGATCTGAAAATCATAGTAGTTCCTTTGCTGACTGGTCAGCTAAGACAATAAGCTAAAGAACATTTACCTATAGAGAGCATAAATCTTTCCATCAGCAAAATAGATGTCATATTTCTTCTCATGTTGTAACTGGCTGAGTATGATTGTTGAAAAGGGTGGCAGTTTCTTCCCAAAAACCACCTGTGGAGAGAGAAGTGGGAAGAGGTTGGGAACACAGAATGTCCAGGCCCCAAACAGCTTGCGGCACAAGGAGGCTCCACGGGGCACCTCTGATAGCAGAATTAATATTCACAAGAGAGATCATCGGTCAGAAGAGGAATATGGGGAACTCAAATCCCTAATAAATGCCATCCTAATCTATCCTGCACAGTTGGAGGAGGAAAAACAAAACTGAACAGGCCCACAGCACACATTTCTCTCAAGAGGCTCAGAAGAATGGAAGCGGTGGTCTCACACGGCTTAGCTATTTAATACACAAGCACCTGGAGAAGCTCAACTTTTGCTTTCAGTGAACTAGAGCAGGGCTTTTCAACCGGTGGTACACGTACCACCAAATGTACGTGAGCACCTGGCTAGTGGTATGCGTAGGACGGGTTGAACAGCACTGTAAAACAAAATGTACAAAAAAAGTGTAAAAGTGGATGAGGTGAAGCGGCAGCCGCGCCGCACAGGCTTGTGGCAATGTCAGCTGGAACTGCACGTTGCCTGGGTCCTACTGAGAGCCCAGGATCAAAGCGCGCAGCCCCAGCTGATTGCGGGCAGCCTTGGGGGTGGCAGGCAAGCCTCACGCAGTCTTCAGGGGAGATTCCGCTGGAGCTGCGCGATGCATTGCCTGGGTCCCCCCCGCCCCCACCCAGATGCCCTCACCTCCCCCAAGCGTTTTTTTACTCACCTGCTTTCAGCAGCATTCCCTTTCTCCTGTCCTTCTCAGCCTTTGCCATGGGTTTGTGAGACAAAAAAAAAGTTCCATGAGACTTTCTAACTTCTCGCGAGAAGTTAGAAAGTCTCATGGAAGTTTTTTTTCTGTTTTACCCACAAACACATGGCGAAGGCAGAGAAGCAAAAGGAGAAAGGGAGTGCAGCTGAAAGCAGGTGAGTAAAAAAATGGTTGGGGAAGGCGAGGGCATCTGGGCGGGGGAAGGGGCGCCAACCTTACTCTGCATGGTGGCGGGAGGGTTAACGGCGGGCGCAGGGGGCCCAGGAGGAGCTGCGCAAAGCAGGCAGAGGGGAGGCCAGGCAGATTGTGGGCACTGGCAAGTGAGCAAGAGGGCAGGGGCGCGAATCGGCGTGTGCTCAGAAACGCCGATCTCATGCTCCTGCTCATCTCGCTTGCAGAAACAAAATTCAGAAGACAAGGAAAGGCGTCAAAAGCTGTTGATAGATAGATAGAAAGCAAGTGGAAAGCAAGCAAGTGAGCTGGGCAGGAGCGCGGAATCAGCGTTTCTGAGTACACGCCTATTAGGGGCGTGAATCGGTGCCAATTCCGCGCTCCTGCCCAGCTCACTTGCTTGCTTTCCACTTGCTTTCTATCTATCAACAGCTTTTGACGCCTTTCCTTGTCTTCTGAATTTTGTTTCTGCAAGCGAGATGAGCAGGAGCATGAGATTGGTGTTTCTGAGTACACGCCAATTTGCGCCGCTGCCCTCTTGCTTGCGCAAGCAAGTGAGCTGCGCAAGAGCCCAGAATCGGCGTGTGCAGCTACAGCTGAGCTGCGCTTCTGCTGAGCCACCCAGAAGCATGGATCAGCTGTAGCCCGGTGCTGATCCTGGCGCTTCTACTAAATTAGCAAGCAGCATGTTTTACGGCAAAGCGTGAGCAAGTGAGCTGGGAAGGAGCCCAGGATCGGGGCGCACAGCTACAACTGATCCGCGCTTCTGGACAGCTGTAGCTGCTCTCCTGGGCTCCTGCCCAGCTCACTTGCTCGCGCTTTGCCGGAAAACATGCCGCTTGCTAATTTAGCAGAAGCACAAATCAGCTATAGCCCGGCGCTGATCCTGGCGCTTCTGCTAAATTAGCAAGCAGCATGTTTTCCAGCGAAACGCAAGCGAGCTGGGCAGGAGCCCAGGATCGGGACGCGCAGCTATAGCTGATCCGCGCTTCTGCAGAGCAGCCCAGAAGCGCAGATCAGCTGTAGCTGCTCTCCTGGGCTCCTGCCCAGCTCACTTGCTCGCACTTTGCTGGAAAACATACCGCTTGCTAATTTAGCAGAAGCGCGAATCAGCTGTAGCCCGGCGCTGATCCTGGTGCTTTTGCTAAATTAGCAAGCAGCATGTTTTCCGGTGAAGCACAAGCAAGTGAGCTGGGCAGAGCTCTCCTCTGCCTCTGCGCGTGCACAGGCAGGTTTGGCATGTCGCCATGGCCACCGGCAGCACAGCCACCAGCCACGCTGGCAGCCTGTCCCCTCCCCTTGTCCCTTCCTGGGCACGGAGGGGGGGAGGAAGGAAGGGACAAAGAGGGAGGGAAGTAAGGGACAATGAGAGAGGGAAGGAGGGAAGGAACAATGGAAGGAAGGGAGGGAAGGAAGGGACAAAGGGAAGGAAGGAAAGAAGGAAGGAAGGGAAGGACAGTGAGGAGGGAGGAACAATGGGAGGGAGAGAGGGAGGGAAGGAAGGCTCCCATGCCTGTCCCACCCCCTCCACCAGAGACCCACCGATCCCCCTCACATCCCCGCCCGCACCCCCCACAGGCACCCTGCAACCTGAGTGATGAGCTGGCCACACACCCCCTTGCCATTGACTTCACGTCAAAAAGTTGCAAAAGGTGATCACATGACCCTGGG